TCGAAGATGAAGTCTTGCTCACGGCGTCACGAAGGTCGTAGAAGCTAGGTTGCCCATCAGGGTCTGGATAAGATGAGCCTGAACTCTGGTGTGGTTGAGGCAGGCCGAGATGGAGGCCGTTAGAGCTGTGAATCTGTCCTCTGGAAGGAAGGCTTTCTGCAGGTTCGAGTTGAGGATCACTCCGATGAACCTTACTGTCTGTGCGGGAAGAAGAGAAGACTTCTCGAAATTGACATTGAGCCCCAATGCATCGAGTAGACCGAGGGTGAAGCGGATGTCGATGAGGAGCTTTTCTTGGGTCGGATCTGTCAGGAGCCAATCGTCGAGATAAGGGAAGACTGCTATCCCTTCGCGATGTAGAAATGCGGCAACGAGGGCCGTGCACTTGGTGAAGACCCTCGGTGCCGAGGACAGTCTGAACGGAAGCACCTTGTATTGATAGAGGTTGGTGCCTACTGTGAAGGCCAGGAATCTGCAATGTTCCTCTCGAATGCTTATGTGAAAATAAGCGTCCTTGAGATCGATGGTGGCGAACCAGTAGTCTTTCTGCAAGAGAGGTAAGATAGAAGAGAGAGTTGTCATGCGAAATCATCTCTATTCGATTAACTCATTCAATGCTCTCAAGTCAAGGCCAGAGTTCCTCTTAGGCACAATAAAGTAATGGGAGAAGAAGCAGTATCGAGACCTAGAACTGGAGATGGGTTCGATTGCTCCCTTACCTTTCAAGGCACGCACTTTGTTGAGTAAGGTGTCAGAGGGGTGTGTGACAACAATAGCTCCAGTTGGAGGGAGCTCTTCGAATTCAAGGGCATAACCCCTGCTGACGATGTCAAGGACCCACGAATTGGAAGTGATGGTGGCCCAGGTGTTAAGGAAGGGCCTTAAGCGGTTGTTACAGGCATCGACGGAGTGCTCGGCAACACATCAGAGTTTTCTTCTGGATTCGAAGGGTTTCCTCCGGTAGACCTGCCTAGGTGGTTGTTGGCGTCGGCCAGAAGAAGGAAAACGTGAAGGCTGTCAGTGGCATGACTGGTCCTGTCCCTGTGCAGCGTCCTGTTGGGGTTGACACTGAGAGGGTGGGTACCACGGTCTTGGTTGGTAGTACCCGAACCTTCTACGGAAAGGATGTGATGATGGCTGGATAGCATGCTTGCGTGCAGCAGTCTTCATTTTGTACTTTTTATTGAGTTTTTCGTCCGTATCCTTATGAAAGAGGCCGGACTGGTCAAACGGAAGATCCTCAATAGTGGATCTGGCCTGTGATGCCAAATCAGCTTCTCGCAACCATGTGTGTCTGTGGAGCAAGATGGCGTTGAGCAGTGTTTTAGAGGAACACTTGGTGAGATTGCGGGCTGTAACAATTTGTTGGGTGCCCACTGCATGCGTTTCCTGCTGCAGAGCCAAGGCGTAAGGCTTATGCTCGTCAGGAAGTTCTTCTAGGATTGGTGCGAGCTTTCCCATGAGATGGTGAGTGTATGCACCAAAACAACCAACATAGTTCACTACTTTGAGGGCAAGCACAGAGTGAGAGTAGGACTTCTTGGCTAGGAAGTCGATTTTCTTCTCCTCTTTATTGGCGGGAGAGGTGGATGACTTCGAGGTGGAAATGTGTTGAGCTCCCTCAACTATATCAGTTTTGAGAAGGGTGGTCCACCATCCAAACCGGTTTTGGATCTGCAATGCGGTAGAGATTGTCCATCCGCTTTGAGATCTGAGAGGCAGAGGTAGGCATTTCCAGGATCTAGTGAGGATTTTGGCTAGTGAAGGCATGTATGGAATGGCTGGTCTTTCAATTAGCCTGCTTTGAGCTCACTTTTCCAGCTGGCCAGAGGGCTCGTTGTCATCGGGTTCGGAGATGGGAAATTCGAGGGCGTGGACTATCCTGAGGATTTGGTCCGTGAAAGCTCGAACATCATCAGAGGGAGATGAGGATTGTGTATTTAGAGGAGGCTTGGAATGTGAAGGAGACCAGTCAAGGTCACTGCCAGAATCAGAAGAAGAACCCAGTGAAAGGGAGCGGTATGATGGGGT